TTCAGTTTTCAGGGCTCTCCCCTCTTCTCTCGAGACACTCTGTGGAGTATCCTCCTCCTGTGTTTTCCGGTTCCGTGAAAATTCGCTGACGTGATTCGAACTCTAATTAAACATCACCGGTTTTAAGGGGAATCGTCGTTTAACGAGACATGATTGAAATTGTATCCAATTGTAAAAACAATTGTTTAGAATTTGGAATTTAGATAGAGTTTTATGAGATGGTGTAACGTGGTATTTTATTTATTTGATCAAGGTGGTAAGGAAGATACATTATCCCGTTTTGAGACGGGATTTTGGATGAGACGATGCTCGCAAGAAATGTAATATTATGTGATTAATGGTGTTAAGAAGAGATCATATAATTTATTTAGGTCTCAAAAAAGCTTGAAACAAAATGTACTACGTTTATTTTGTCTCATCTTGTTTCTTCATTATGCGAAGTCTTAAGAATTAGATCTTTACTTTTTAGTAGTCAATCTTTAAAAAAAATATATTTCATTTTTACATACACTATCTAATTTATCTACTATCTATTATCCAACATCTTCAATCTCTTTCTTCATTAAATTTAAAGAATTATATATTTTATGAAGAATTGAATATTTCTGAGATTAAAAACTGAGAAAATTGCAATAAAATATCTCAATAAAATTGCAATAAAATTCTCAAACTGATCGATCTCGATAAAGCTGATCAATTTGATTTCCCACGATGGGTCACTTGGCCAACATACTTATTATAAATACTCTCTTCTCTTTTTTAGATTAGAAAAAATTTGTATTCCCTTCTTCTAAAACGTAGGCGTGCACGATACAAGACAATACACGTATCTCTCTCTAAAAAAAAAAAAGGACAAAAAATAAGGAAAAAAAAATCTCCAAGATTCCAAGAGGGTGGGGACGGGCGAAATCTTTGGATGGTAATGCATCATTGACTTGAACGGGAAAAAGGGAGGCAGCAAAGTTGGAGAGATGCGCGAAGCCGATGAAGATGAAAAAATAAAGTGGGCCACGATACTCCATTAACCTGATTACTGCCACAGAAGTAACGACCCTTTCTGTGCTCGCGGCTTCCGCGCGACTGCTAAATGTGGACACGGCCTACATTCCAGTTCATTTTTAGATAACGCTTTAAACAGAGATTATCAACCGTGAAACAAAGTCTCATCAAACGCCTCGCGAGCTTTTTCTCCTGTTACCAGGCGCCATGCGCCCGATCCGAGTGATCCTTGACCATTAACGAATTTGTTCCTGTTCAACCTTCATTTCTGTGAAATTAGAAATTATTCTGTATGTATTTGATATTGGATTATTTTTTTTTTTACTATGGTATCTTTTTTAGGATGTATTTTTTAAGTATAACAATTATTTTTAGTATTAGTAGAAATTTTTGCAAGTTGGATGTTGAAATAACAAGTTTCAAATAACAATGAGAATAAAAAGAAAGTTTTTTATTGAGTTAAGCATTATTGGTTTTCAAAAGCTATATTTCAATTACTGTGCTTTGGATATTGTACACACTATATTAAATATTTTATTCCATTATTTGCTTATTATAAATTAAAATTGTGTTTTAAATTATGTTTGTTTATTACAAATAAGATTATGTTTTACGTTAACATAAAGAAAGCATAATGATAAATACATCATGAAGAACTTGGCCACTTAGTGTGTGCAATGATGTAGGCAAATCTAAAATTAGCTCTAATTCTCATAGATTGTTTAAAAAAATATGTTTTTCATTAGTTTACAAAACTGTCTTATTTCTCAATTATAAATTTTCATTATTTTTGTAGCAAGTATTTATTTTGGAAAAATAATGAAAAATATGAATTTCTATATTCCTACAATGATGAAAGCTAAAATTATCTATATATATATTTAGTTTCTATTCCTATAAAATAATTCATATTGAAAATAATTCAATGAAATTTTTTTCTATTTGATAACTGAATTAAATATTTATAACAAAGTAATAAAAATTGATGAAACAATATCATCGAAAATTCTTGTCAAAAAATGGACATTAGAAATTGAAATCTCCTTTATCTATAAAATTCAATATCTACTGCAATAGTATATTGATCGAAAAAAAAAAAAAAAACAAAACACATTTGTGAAATTATCTCTATCACGTTTTTTTAAAAAAAAAATCCAATTAAAAATTATACAATTTTTCCTATCTATAAAACTATCAAACATTTTTATAGTATAGAAATTGATGAAAAAAATATTGCTCGAAAACGATACCCCTTTCCAGAAACTAATATGTTTCAATTTAAAGTCACACGCTCGATTTAATCAAATTAGTCCAATGCCACGCAAACTTGCACGTTAACGATCAAAAATTTAGCACGTGATCAATATTGGAATATTAAGAGCACCATAAATTCACAAAATACTTTAGCTGTTCCAATTAAATCGTGTGTTGTCAAATATAATTTCGATGGAAGCTTTAATCTTTTAAAACTATCAATTATCAATCAATTTCAATTCGAAGTTGAAGTATTTTAATAGAAGTATTTTAATAAGCATCCTTTTTAATCCTTTCAATACCCTTTTTAATTCCAATTCTCAAGCAAGAAAATATTTTTTATAAGAAACGAGATTATAAATTAGAGATATAAAAATATCAGGGATAGAGAAAAATATGTATTGTTTTATAAATATTTTTTTTTTCATATTTCACATTCATCCATAAAAGATTAACAATGTTACAATTAATAATATATTTTTTTTACTTATACAAATTTTGCAATTATCTAGAGTTTCAACAATAATGTCTGTAATTTCAAAATAAAATATGCATTTCTTTTCTTATAGAACCATAATCATTTTTATGAAAAATTTTCATAAAATTCATGTTAAAATTTTAATAAAGTAATTTTTATGGAATTCATTTGTATATAAGTTTAAATTTAAGTTTTCGTCATTTTTGTAGCAAGTATACTTTGAAAAATCTCCAAAGCTTAATACAAAAATGAAACTGGAAATTGATAAACGATTATATTTGAATTATATATTCTGTTTA